AAAATCTTCGTCGGCAACCAACGTTCCGTCGATCCTGAGACTCGTTTGCGCCGGAATCTCAACGCAGACAGCCACTCACAAAATTCAAGAGCCCCGAGAGACGAATTTTTTACAGCTGGCAGGGTAAGAATCGCGTCCTGGCCACCCAAACCTCTGTTCGGGGTGGAGACCGGCACGGGCAGGGCAAAGCGTCGTCCGGTGGTTCGTACCGAAAAATCACCTGCTCGACTCCAGCGGGGCCTCCGTTATGGGTCACGAAGTATCTATCTTCACAGCTTGCATCGTCCTCTACACGAAGCTCGTCAAGTCTACCATCTTGCTGCCAGGCCAGATAAACCGCCTCCAATGACAACCACCTGTCCCAGATGCCTATGTGCAGCGACACGCAGCGACGGGCAAGTCGAGCAGTCTTGAGACCGACAAAAACGAATCGAGACGTCAGCCTACTCACAGTTCGACGAGGGCCTGGAGCCCTGAAAACGTACCAGCCTCCAGCGTCGTGACACCAGCGCCCCCTAAGCTCCTGTCGTATGGACGAGGAAGAGAAACGGATTCTGTGACGCTGGACGTCGCTGGCCGGGAGATTTACACACCAATTCGTTGAGTGAAAGCCTTGTTTGTTCGGGGCAGGGACATGCACTGCCTCACTAAGTTGATTGGAGTTGAGTTAGGTCCTAGTCCTGTTCTGTGTGACGTGACCCGAGTCTGGAGTACTCAAGTATGCAACGCACGACACAGCCTGTGCCCCCACTAAGTAGGACTTCCCGACACTCCGCATACCGCATAACTGAGGGTCCTCTACCGCAAGCACACCGCCACGAGCTGAAACAGTTTTTTTTCGAAACAGCACTTTCTTAAGGGCAAACCCCTTCCACATCGCAATCATCACAAATCACCTGCTGTTACTGTTTCCGACTTCGTATTAAAAACCGTCCCGTTCTCTCTACTCAGTACCTTCTTCTGTCCGTACTAGGCAAGCACTTGACGCGGACGATTCCCGTGGTCACAAGCGAAGTTACCCCGAAAAGGTACGAAAATTAGATGGACCCGAAGGGTCCGCAAGCCAATAGAAATCAACGACAGATAGTCTGGGACCCTCCGTTCGCCTCTACCCTCTATGCAAGGTAACAATAGACTGAAACAATATTTAACAAGCAAAAAACAACAACAAAAACAGCAGAAGGAAGAGGGAGAAACAGAGACACGATGACAGACGCCAGAACCACTACCGTAGCGGCACACAAACAAAACAACACAAGCCAATACAAAACGCGTCGCTCGAGACAGCAAAGGCATGTAACTACTGCTGGGGGGTTGATGCAATGGTGTAGTGACAGGGGCGGGGTTAGTCCATCAATCAAGGGGTTCAATCCGGCACAGCAATGTCGCGCCACTCGGTCCGCCTCTTCTCGTTTTCTGTCTTCCCTCGCCGTCTCGTCCGTCTGCTGCACCCCTCCCGTCCCATTGGGTGTTGACCTGTCCGTGCTGTTGCCGGGCTTGTTGTTTCATTTGAGCGCTCGTTGTTGACTAGCCTCCTCTTCCTTCTTGTGTCAGGAGGCCATGAACCTCTCAGCTCCCTGCAGTGAACCCGTATGCCACGGTACACCCCGCTCCATCTTCGCTGCTTCCATCTAAGTTGTGACTCCGAAGACACATGTCTCGGTGTCCGTAGATCCTTGTTCTGCCTCGAACAATTTGAGGTCGTCCTTCAGGTATATCTGCCAGTTTTGCTCCGGTTTCCCCCTGCCTGGGCCCTCCCCTCCCACCAGTTCGCCAAGCATCAACGCGTGTCTGTCTGGTTACACCCACCAACAGCGGGCGCCGTCCCCGAAACAATGGCTTCCACGCTCTGGCACCTACCCTCTTCAGGGTCTGGGCGTAGGAAAGCTGCCGGCAGGTGCCCTTGTTGCGTTGGTAACCGATAACTCGCAAGAGAAGCCGGTGATATATCGACGGCAACAGCCGGTAGTGTTCGCGACGTGGGGCCCACGTCATGCGGCCGTATAGTAGTGCCTTCATCGCCTCGGCCTGGAGCAGGCGAGTCTCGAGTCGGAACGGTTTTCTCGGCCTGTCGAAGAGCTCCCGATCATATCTCCTGACGCACGCCCACGTTGTTCTGCTCCGGTAATTGATCTCCCGGGAGAGGTCGCCTAGAGTCAAAACAGAACACTCCGAAACCCGTCGCTGCGAATTCCGTGTGCCCTTTCCTCCGTGTCTCCGCCATGCCTATCACCGATATGTTTTGCTTCCTTGCCTCGTGCAAGATACGGTAGGTTCCCCCGTACACATTTCCCCGTTTTTAGCCAGGGTCCACGCATTCCAGTTTGCTACCCCAAGACGTCGACCCTGCTGTCTGCCTCGGGCGGCGCGTGCTGCTCTCTTAGTCAGCCTTCGCTTCGCCCGTCCCCTCCTTTTCCTCCTTCGCGCCCTCTTTTGTTGCATTTCTTCAATTTTGTTGCGGGCTCTCGGGCTAACGTAAGAGTTACTCCGGTGCCTGCTATTTGTCCCACAGAGTTGTCTTCTCGTCCCGGAGCGGTGCGGCCCTCCAGCTCTGGACTCGTTCGTTTCCCCTCTCTGGTGCTTACCCCCACAGTATTCACCGTGCTCTCTGCCGCTGCATGGCCCCGGTATCCAAGCCGGGGCATCTGGATCAGTCCCACGTTGCAGCTACCCGAGTTGGTAAGGTCAGGAGCTACCCCGGTCTCACGACAGCCGTAGTTCCCGGCCACCAAAGTCAGGATTCCCTTCGGAACAGTAGTAGGGACTGAATATCCGTGTTGGATGCGTGGTATTTCGAGGCCTACTCCCGCTTACGGACCTCGACCCAACCCAGTAGGGAGGCGGGCAGGCCGGGGGGAAAAGATATTTTTGCTTTGGACGCCTTCGGGCGTAGAACCAAATACTTCGCAAGGGTGGAAACGAGTACAATATCGGAAGCGAACGTTTTCGCCAGTCTTCAATCAAGCACCAATCAACGGATTGCCATGTGATACACACCCTCATTTCAGGATTGCCGCTGCTCATAGGTGAAACGGCTAAGGGATACGGATAGCTAGCGCTAGAGCTACACGACATGCAGGTAGGCCTTGCATGGTCACTCACAAGGTTTGGAGAGCCGCCAGTCCGTTGAACGCCCCAGCTGGTACGTCGCCCAGCGAATTCCAACAATATCCCTAGCGGTAGGAGTAGGGTTAGTGTCAGAACACTAGCAACAATAAAGGGGTCGTGTAACGATTGATTCCAGAGATGGTGGGCACCGAAGTCGTGGTTGAGAAATTCTGAGACGCAAGCTGCGCCAATTTTCGTGTGAGCACGCTTGACGGAAACCGGCTACCAAAACTCGCTCCCGAAGGTGCACGAGAGCACGGCAGACGCTATTTCACGTAAGACACCACGCCCGTGTAGGCATCGAGGGTTTTGTACTGTACGCAGGGACTTTTCATCTCGAGGGATTCTCAAAACAACAGCAATCGATGGAGACCTTGTTTCAACTCACAGTTTCTTGAGACTCCCGAGGTCTCGAAAGCATCCGACAGCGGAGATGTGATTCCAGCCTGGTTGAGGGCCCTGTCGTGGCAACCAAGGGCGGCAGATGAGGCGGGAAGCACAAGTTTTCCTTGGGATTCTCATCTTCTAGTTGGTGCATCTCTCCCTGGGCATGGTCGCCGACTTGAACAATATTCGAAAAGGCGCACCTACCAAAGTTGCACCTTGACAACGGTTGGCTCGCCTGCGCACGTGTAGTGACCAAATCCGTTGTTTTATCAGAACACAACGGAGAGCATGAAAGACGTCAACTCACAACGTCAGAAGCGCAGCCAAGCCGTTGACCGACCCGGCTGGAACATGTCCCAGGGCGCCGGCGAATATTCTCCTTCGCGGGCACAACAAGTTGCACAGTCGGTGAGGGGTGAGAGTTCCCAACGATCGCGCTGACAATCGTGACGGGGTTACACCACAATCGTGTTTGGCACCTTCGCGACCACGATTCAGAGAAGATTTGCCAAAGCATCTTTCTGTACGTCAGCGCTATGGTCAGCCTGTGCCATGCGGAGTTTTCGTTGGTTTCGCGGACAACGGCATGCGCAAGTTTCTGGGAGGCTCCCCGTAGACAAGGCAAAGCAACTCCGCCTTTAAGTTGCAGGAGATGGAGCTATAGAGGTCAGCCCGTGGGAGGAATGGATCGAATGTCGTGTAAAACTGTTGCTATCAACTGGCATTGAGAGGTGTCCTACGTATACCTAAAGCATTCCGTACTTGCCATATAAATTTCCAGCAGGCTACCTCCACATCATTGCCGCAGTAGAGAGACTGATTCTTTGTGATTCATTCCCCTCAGCCGACGGCAATCGATCGAGTCAAACAACAATTCACTTACAGCTCGTCGAGGGAATCGAGGCCTGGGAACGTGCCAGCTGCTAGGGATGCAACACCAGCGTAGGAAAGGTATCGGGTACGGGCGTGGGGGCGCGGAGAGAGGTACTGGAAGGCTGGAAGCGGTCATGCGGGGAAGCTGTTGGCCCTGAGCAAGTGTACCCCTCTTTCGCGAGAATTGAAGTTTATGACGAGTTTCAAGAGGGAGGGGGGTATGCAGACCCTATCCCAACCCTAACCCTGGCCCAAACTCAACTTCCCCGATTGTATGAATATATAATTTTCCAAAATGCTCGCAAAGTAGGAATACATTGCGAAGGCTACTGAAACAAGCACAATAGAGGTAGTGTCGGTTGAATAGTGCCGGTGCATGGTATTGGGCCGGCCAAATCTCTGGACACGAGTGTTCACTCCAATACTAACCCTAGATACCCCTTATGTTCTGAATAGCGCCGGTGTTCTGTAAAGGATAGGTGAATATTCTGGGCACATAACGGCCCAAAACGAGCGCCCCAACTGCATGTGGAGCACAGCTCGTTGGATAAGCGCGAGAGGGTTCTGATGTGATGAAGCACAAGGGTCTGTGCACATGGAGAAGGCGTGCGGCAGTACAACCATTTCCTTACGCCCCTTAACGTAGACCGCGATGCTTCCCCCGCCGTTTCCACAATTTTGGGATAGTCGGCCATGCGTATATCGGTCGTCCCTCGAAAGCGAGAGCCTTTTACACGGACAAGACAACACGGAACTCTTGTCGTGGGAAATGGCGAGACTGCCACGAGCGTTGGGGCTTGTACACTTTCGTACTTTTCCATGAAAAGTTTCATGAAAGACCATGGATTTCCATGGAATTCCATGGACTTCCATGAAACTTCCATGGCCTTCCATGGAAGTCCATGGAATTCCATGAAAGTTTTCACGGCATTCCGTGAAAAGTTCCATGGATGTCCATGACATTTTTGTCATGAAACTTTCCATGAAATAATTTCACTCCTTGTCATGAAACTTTTCATGGAACAATTTCATGGACGTTCATGACATGCTTTCCTGAACGCCCGTGAACGTTCATGAAATGGACGCCCATGAACGTTCATGAAAAAAAAAATCATGGAGACCCCATGGGGGTCATGAAATATTTCATGATAGCCCATGAACGTCCATGTAATGTTTCATGGACGTTTCATGGACGTCCATGGCCTTTCATGAAATATGTCCTGAACATCCAATGGTCTTCCATGAAATTTCATGAAATATTTTCATGAAATATTTCATGAAAGGTCATGGACGTCCATGAAACATTTCATGAACATCCATGAACATTCATGAAATGTTTCATGAAAGCCCATGGGCCTCCACGAAATGTTCCATGCGAGGGCGGGACGCCGAAGCGCCGGCGCGTCGGCGGAAAACCCGAGGATACATGGGGATATGTCCCCGCCCCCCCCAAAATGGAACAAAATTACCCCGATTTTCGACTATGTAGTCTATAACTAACTGAGTGTCCTGAATTTGTGTTCACGACACTCCCTTGGACAAGGGTTTCGGAACGCACCTCACCTACCTCACTCGGCAATGGCTAGGTATCGGTTGGAAATGTTTTTCCCTTTCGCCTTCTTCCGCCCCTCCATTATTCGACGGTTCGCCAGATCGGGGCTGGCTGTGATGGGACACCCATTCATTGCTGAACGCGACGAGCTGGCGGTGGAGGCCGTCGGCGAGGTTGTTGTGCCCGGCCGTTTGACTTCTCCCGCGGCTCTGCTGATGGGCGGAGGATGGCGTCCACCACTCACTTTTCTTTCGGCTTGGAGCAGATGCACCCTGAGCCCGTCGTCCGTGTGATTCATCTCAATTATTATAATGGTAGTTTTATTCATTTTTTTTTTTATATTTTTCATGAAATTCCATGACGATTTCTATGGAAGTCCATGGAGCTCCATGGAACTTTTCATGAAACTCCATGGACTTTCATGAAACATTTCATAGGATTTCATGGAACTCCTTGGACTTCCATGAAATATTTCATGAAGAGTTCCATGGACGTCCATGGACTTCCATGAAAAGTTTCATGGAAGTGAAAGGAGTTCCATCAAGAGATTCTTGGAAGCCCATGGAGCTCCGTGGAAACAAGTAAAAGTTTTCTTGGAAGTCCAATGAAAAGCCCATGCACACATTTCATGGAAATTAATGTCGAACACTGCCAAGGCTCATTGTCAGCATTTATCAACCAAGTTGGCGTCACTGGATTATTTCTTGAACGTCCATGAAATGTTTCATAGACTTCCGTGATGAAAGTATGTCCATGGAAGGAACTCCATGGACTTCCATGAAATATTTCACTAAAAAATACTATAATGTAGATGACTGCGAGCGTTCCTCAGTGCGTTATGTGTAAATCGCCTGTACACACCCGAAGGTATCAGACTTTCACAGCACCCGAAATGTCCCCGTGGGAGAAGCGAAGGCTATTGCCCGCCGCGAATCCCGAATGTATCGCCTGGACTGGCGACTGTAGAGCCCATCTAAACCTTGCGATTCTCGCAGAGCGTTTGGAGTCAATCTTCCAACAACCATCCGTACCATCCCGCAAATTTTCTCTTCTCTCACTTGGTAGCGCTGGTTTGGAGAGATTGGCGTCCAGCATGTAGGTTCAACGGTACGTATGTGTCGATCGCGTAGACGGTTGAGCCAACGAGATCACAATACCCTCAACGTTTCGGATTTCGGCACCGCAATATGGGGGCGCTCATCTCTAGTCATGTGGGCGGATCGACAGAGCACCTTTGCATGTCTGCAACGACCCAAGTGGAAGGGTGGCGGCCATGGCTACAATAGACTCTCACAGCTTTATGTAGGGCCGAACGACCGTTGAACGCTCCGGCTGGTAAATGTCCCAACGAACTCTCAAGGCCTATACCCCTGTATGTGAGTTGAGGTCGATGTGTTAGGATTCCCCAAGGTGAGCATCATCTATAGGGGGGGTGAGAGAGAGAGAGAGAGAGAGAGAGAGAGAGAGAAAGAGAGAGAGAGAGAGAGAGAGAGGGAGGGAGAGAAACAGAGAGAGACCGGCAGGAGAAAGAGGGAGAGGTAAAACGAGGGGCGGCGGACATGGAGCAACGAAAGGGATAGGGAGGCTATTTTAAGATAGCAACAAAGCATGGACGAAGGGCCTCAATGCGAAAGCCTGATGAAAGCACCTGGGGACTATGATGCATATGGACAGTTGAAAGGTAGGTCCACATCCGATCCACAGACCACCAAGACATGATGCAGAGCTTGCTTGCGAGAATGAGAATTGTACAGACTGCTGTAGGCCTTTCGAGCAAAGAGCTCCGTTCGCCCATCACACGCAACGCTGTGTCCTCACGACGGGCCTCATCTGTTCTACTGAGGATGACCTACGCGCCAAGGCCATGCTGTTGGAACTTCCCATCGCAGCGCAGACGGTGGTAAAGAGCACCGACGAAAGGGGTCCGCACGTGGAGAAAGATTGACAGCTTAAGACAGAATACACCAATTTCCTGTCAAGCCTTTGATCAAAAGCAACACCGAGGAGGGAACACAAGCAATACTCAATTGGTGCTGCACCCAGGCCGCTTCAATTCTGCCAAGAAGGTACGTACAAATACCAGGTGATACCCCGATACCTGCGTGTTTATCCCATTCCGAGCGGATTTCTCCGCGAGCAGAGGTGTGGACGCATGACACACACTTACCGGTACCAAAACTGTAGCAGCTACCAGGTAGGGGTTTGTGAGGTGTGAGCGCTGATTCAAAGAGAGGATATTCATGTATGTATATACAAAGAAGGGGCCTTACAGATGAACGAAAGCCTCGAGGCCCAGGAAGGCGTCGGCCTCCACGGATGTTATGCCGCAGTAGTAGAGGTTCCTGGAACGGCATCGAGGACGGCGAACAATGAAGTACATGAAAAACAGGTGCTGGCGTCAATTCAGGCATCCAATCGTATGTTGCAAGGTTAATGTAGGCCCCCGCCACCTAAAAATCGACAGATTTCCCTTCAACGACAAGAACGCGGGGACAAAAGACAAAGGAGGTGCTCCATGGTTAGCAAGCTACGCCTACACAGTCGACAAGACAACATTGCGCCACTTGCCCACAATCACAAAATTTGCGAAAACAATCGTGAAAAGCTTC